CTTTTTTTCTATAAATCCATTTCCACATAATTTTAACAACAGTCACCATAATAACATATATTATAAATATGTCTCTTAAAAGATGCTACTTTTTATAACATGGACTCAGGGGTAGATGTTTTGTCCCCCGTACCCTGGTTTTCATTCTGGTTTTGTGGCTTTCATTTCTTATTATTATCTTCTCTCTCTCTCTCCTTTGCTTTGCGTCAGCCCCACTGGCCTATTTTCTAGTCTTTGAACGCACTAAGCCTTGTTCCTGCCTCTGACTGTTTCCCCATTCAGTACTTTCTGCCTGGAATCCAGTTCTTCGGCTCTTCCAAGGGCTGGTGCTCACCCTTTAAGTTTTGGTTTAAGAGTCGCTGCTTTGAGGAAGCAGCTCAGACCACAGTGGAGAGTAGACTTGCCAGTTTTTTTCCTGTTAGAAATGATAGCATTCTGGGCCGGGCGCGGTGGCTCACGCCTGTCATCCTGGCACTCTGGGAGGCCGAGGCAGGAGGATCGCTGGAGGTCAGGAGTTCAAAACCAGCCTGAGCAAGAGTGAGACCCCTGTCTCTACTATAAATAGAAAGAAATTAATTTGCCTACTAATATATACTGAAAAAATTAGCCGGGCATGGTGGCGCATGCCTGTAGTCCCGCAGCTACTCGGCGAGGCTGAGGCCAGGAGGACTTCGCATGAGCCCAGGAGTGTTGAGGTTAGCTGTGAGGCTAGGCTAGACCCACGGCACTGACTCTGGCCTGGGCCAACAAAGCAAGATCTTTCTCCGAAAAGAAAGGAAAAGAAAGAAACAGAAAGCAGAAAAAAGAAAAGAAAAGAAGAAGCAAAGCGCAAGATACAGAACAACGAAGAGATTGCAGCAATTTCTGTCACTTGATTCTACTTTTTTTACTGACCATGTTTCCCCAAAAATAAGAACAGGGTCTTTAAATTCTTTTTCCCTAAAGAAGCAACCCCTTAGACGCATGTGGTCCTCCAAACTACACGGCCCGTGGCCCAGCATGCCGCGTGTTTGTTCTGGCCATTTAGCCGATTTTGTGTATCCGGTCCTCAAAAGATGATGTGGCAAGGAATCAGGCACGCTAGGAAGTTTTTGTTCCATAGGATTTCCTTTCCATATTAAACTATAGTCCAGCCTCCCAGCAGTACTAGAGGGACAAGTCGGCGACCTGGCCCCTGTTTAAAAAGTTGGAGGACGCCTGTGCCCTACGGGATTTTTTCAGGGGCGATGGCCCGGCGAGGTATATTTTTTTCGCTCGGTCACCACTCTCCCATCTGACTTCAACCATACGACGTGCAAGTCCCGTCTTTCTGCGCGTCCTACCTCACATACTACACAAACCCGAATCCATCCTGAAATGTCTTTCGGCGACTCTGTTTTCCTTTAGACACCTGCCCCGATCTCCTCCTGTTGGAGCACACAGAGGCTACTCACGGGGCGGATGAGAGGCTTGCTCGTGCGTTCTTTCCGCTCCGCTACCCGACACGCATGGTTGTGCAGGATGTGCTGTGCACAGCCACGCCTGCTCACTAGGGGTTATTTTCATAGCCACGCCATCCACTAGGGCTGATTTTCGGGGTAGGGCTTCTATTGCGCACATGCTTAGAAATCCTGCTAGGGTTTACTTTATGGGTAGGTCTTATTTTCGGGGAAACACGGTACTGCATTTATACTCTGACTGTCCCGAAAGCATGTTAACTCCTGAGTCAGGGAACTGTTTACCACTGTGGAATCAGAATCTAGCATGGAACCTGGCACACAACTGTGCTCATTCATTGCGTGTTTATTGAATGTCCGTCCCAATGAAATCTCTTTACCAAACACCTGTTTTTAGAATCTTACTCAATCTCAAAGATTCATGCAGTTATATAAGGCAAATACTGAATAACATCACCAACAAAGACTGAGGTTATAATTCTGAGCACAAAACATTTTTCAAGAATCATTGTCTGTTTGTTCTCGTGATAGTTTCCTTGATTCAGATAGAATCATATTATGTAAAAATTTGAAAATTGTTGTTATTATCATGGAATTGTTATACCCATCACGATTAGCATGTAACCCACACCTTAAAATAAAGTTTTAAAGAAAAATATCGTTGGCCTAATTCCCCCTCTCCTAAACTCCTCCCACTCTCTTGGAATACCAATGGTATTAATATTTTGTAGGACACAGTGTGGTAAATCCTGTTCTAGGAAACAGATGAACACTGTCAACTAAAGTTGTCAACAGACTCACCTAGGACCTTGTTAGAAACTGTGCAAACTGTCTGGCCCCACTTTATGACTAATAAAAAATCAGCATATTTGGGTTTGAGGTCCAGCAATTTGTGCTTTAACAAACCCTCCAAGTGATTCTGATGTAAAGTTTGGGAACCACTGCCCAGAACTGACCTTCAAAGTAACTTTTGATTTCTTAAATATCTCATGAAATAGTCTAGTTGTCCACATGTAACCAATCTTAATTGTTCTCAATAATTTATCTCCCCTTGCCCTGACTTGCAATGACATAGTGTTTCTGCTTTTTATTTTTTATTTTATTTATTTATTTTTTTTTGAGACAGAGTCTCACTCTGTTGCCTGAGCTAGAGTGGGTGCCGTGGCGTCAGCCTCGCTCACAGCAACCTCAAACTCCTGAGCTCAAGTGATCCTCCTGCCTCAGCTTCCCCCTAGCTGGGACTACGGGCACGCGCTGCCATGCCCGGCTAATTTTTTCTATATATTTTTAGTTGGTTGATTAATTTGTGTCTACTTTTTTAGTAGAGATGGGGCCTCGCTCTTGCTCAGGCTGGTCTCAAACTCCTGACCTCGAGCCATCCTCCCGCCTCGGCCTCCCAGAGTGCTAGGATGACAGGCGTGAGCCACCTCGCCCAGCCTTGTTACTGCTTATTAATATTTTTACAATTGCTTTCACGAAGCTAACATAGTGATTTCTCCTACTCTTGGACCTATTTGAGTGAAATCGCCATCTTCTAGGGTTCAACACAAATTTCCTGCTTCCTGGATTACCCAACTATTCCTGGAATAATTTGGCTTTAATGAGCTTATTACCACCGTTTTGGTGTTGTTTCCAATTTCTCATTCAAATAAAAATTTAATTCACTTTTCTGCTCTCCAAAGATGTAGTTTTTTTTCAAAAATTAATACTCATGCTACATCGGCCTTATTATAGACTTTTTCTCTCACTGTACTGCCAAAGGCTATGTTTTTCTTAGGATGCTTATTCAATAAAGAACTTTCTCGTTTCCCCTCAAGCTATCTTTCTTCATGTGGCTCTACATTCTTTAGAGTAAGAAACATTTGGATTCATTTTTTATGAGGATACCTTTAGCTCTAGGGCAGGAGGTGCCACCAACGGCTCTTTATCTTTTTTGGCATAAATCCAATTTCCCAATGAGCGTCCAAGAGAGATTATTTTATCTTCATAGGAGATGTTGCTCTTTCCAGTTATGGAGTGTCTAGCCCCTGGCCATACAGTGCTATAAACTATTGTTTAAGGAACTGATGTATAAGGGAGCAACAATTTTTGTAGTTTTGTGAGTAGTAAAATCCTATATTATCTATAATAACAACTACTATCATTATCGACCACCTTATGTTCTGGAAACCGGGACAGGTGATTTATTGACATGCATTGTTTCAGTGAATATTCCTTAAAAACCTTAACCCCGAAGAACTGGGAACCCGGCCAAGGCAAAAAAACAAAACGTAAAAACAAAGTTGAAACCCCCAAATTCCTGATTTTAAGCATTACGCGCCCAACTCGGATTGTGTTAAGTCCCGATTGTAATCCTTTGTCAAGAATCTGTGTCAGTCCTGTTGACATTATTGCTTCCACCTTTCTTCTCATCTGCCAAAAATGCCTGAAGTACTTCCCTGGGAACCAGTCTTCCTCAGACATTGCAAAGAGTGTGAATAAAGGCCATTATGAGAAACAAAAGGGAAACTCCCATGGAATGAGTGTCTTCATGAGAGAGAGTCACTGTGCTCAGCATCTCATTTCAGCAATTCCATTTGATCCCTATCAAAATCTTACCTGACATGAGCAGCCAATGCTCTTAAGGAACGAAATGACATGCCCAAATCGCACAGCTGTGGGTGGCAGAGCATGGACAGGTGTGACTTGTAGGGCGTTTGTCTCCCATCCTAATCACCAGTGGATGTTGTGGCTATTGTTAAAGATGACAAGAATCATATTTTTTTTTTTTAAAGTTGTTTGCCAGTATCCTCAACTCTCCCAAGACAAATTCCTTACAAACATTATGGTTTTTCTCCTGTTTGCTCCTGGCCACAACATTTCCTCTTTTTTAATAGCTCCCTTCTTTATAGAGAGACCCATTAGATGATGGACTATAAAAAAAAAAAAATCACAAAGGTTAAAAGATTTCGTGCCTCTGCATTGCTTGTTGTAACAGTTCCCAGGGGAGATGGATCCTTGACGAAACAAGGTTTCTGGTAAGTAATCGGGGTTTCTTTTCTGCCGCTAAGGAGGACGGTTCGTTTCTGGTTTGTTGTGCGTTGGTCTACTATAATATATTATATTTTTTTTTTTTTTTTGGTAGAGATTCATTATCTCCTTGGAAACTTAAGATGCTTGTAAAAACATGATATGTCATACCTGTATTTACTCTTTAATTATCAAACCCTCCCAGCCTGTAAAACTGGTAATTATTTTTTCACACTTATTTACTTCACACTTACTAGGTCCTGTTACGGAAGTGAAAACAGATATATACGTCACCAGTTTTGGACCTGTTTCTGATGTTGAAATGGTAGGTGTTTGGGAAATTTAATCCACTCTTTGAGGCTTGAAGAGAACAGGCAGAAAAGACAGCAATGAATATTTATTTATTTATTTATTTATTTTTTGTCAGCCACACAACGCTGGAAAGCCAAAGAATGGCCTAATTAAACTTAAGGGTGTTCAAAGAGTAAGACATTGAATTTGATTTCATCTTCAACACTTGAGTATCTGTTGACTTGGCGTCATTCTCAACAAAGAGAAGAACGTTCTTGTTGCTGGTCCCATAGCACAGCCTTGTGTATAGGTTTTTGTTTTTGCTTTTTTCCTTTCTGGAAACTATCGTGGAGGAAAAAAAAAATAGCAATTATAATTAGTCTTGGTACGCACTAATTGTATATACTGTATCTTAGTCTTAATTGCATTTAGTATTTCATGTTGATCCAATCTCTTGTTGCCCATCCACCTTTCCCTGCCTCTCATGCTTGCTTTCTTTCTTTCTTTCTTTCTTTCTTTCTTTTTTTCTTTCTTTCTTTCTTTCTTCTTTCTTTTTTCTTTTTCTTGTTAGTCTTGGTACTCACTAATTGTATATACTGTATCATAGTCTTAATTGCATTTAGTATTTCATGTTGATCCAATCTCCTGTTGCCCATCCACCTTTCCCTCCCTCCCTCCCTCCTCCTCTCTCCCCTCCTCCTCCCTCCCTCCCTCCCTCCCTCCTCTTCCTTTCTCTCTCTTTCTTTCTTTCTTTTTTTTCTTTTCTTTCTTTCTTTCTTTCTTTCTTTCTTTCTTTCTTTCTTTCTTTCTTTCTTTTGTTAGTCTTGGTACTCACTAATTGTATATACTGTATCATAGTCTTAATTGCTTTAGTATTTCATATTGATCCAAACTCCTGTTGCCATCACCTTTCCCTCCCTCCTTCCTTCTTCCTTCCTTCCTTCCTCCTTCCTTCCTTCCTTCCTATCTCCCTCCTCCTCCTCCTCCCTCCCTCCCTCCTCTCTCTCTTCTCTTCTCTCTTTTCTTTCTTTTCTTTCTTTCTTTCTCAGAGTCTCACTCTGTTGCCCAGGCTAGATTGTGGAGTGCCGTGGCGTCAGCCTAGCTCGCAGCAACTCAACTCTGGGCTCAAGGATCCTCCTGCCTCGCTCCCTAGTAGCTGGACTACAGGCATGCGCCACCATGCCGGCTAATTTTTTCTGTATATTTTAGTTGTCAATTAATTTTTCATTTATTAGTAGAGATGGGGATCTCGCTCTTGCTCAGGCTGGTTTCGAACTCCTGACCTTGAGCCATCCGCCTGCCCCGGCCTCTCTCATGCTTTCTTAAAGAGCTTAGAAAACCATTCACCGGGTCAAGAAGCATCTATGCACTCAGTTGTGCTATCTTACATTCAATATATTTAGTTTGTACGACAAAGAACCTACTTTACTTTTTCCCTTGACTCAGAGCTCCTAGTGATTTGAAACTCTTGGGTTATTTGACTAATTTTTAAAAACTTTGTGAAAATGAAATTTATCTTTCACAAATTTTACTTTGTCTTTAAAAAAAAAAAAAGCCTACAATTTTATGGTTAGCTGGACCATGATGGTTGTTACACCTTAACTGATTTTTGCTATCTGGTCTCAAGTAAAACACAACTGCAGTTACCTGGTGCTGGCAGTTTTATTAAATTATAGTAATTTATTCTTAAATGATTAATACATGTGGTAATTTGTTTATCTTATGAAAGTAGAATATGAAGGGTTTTTTTTTTTTTTTTTAGGATGGACATAACATACTCTGATGGCTGAGAATCTCTTTGCCCCGTTAATTTAAGATCATTTCTGGTCCTATTAATTTTTTTAGGGTTGTCTTTTTTTGTGAGTGGAAAAGAGACTAGAACTTAATGCTTTATTGCTGCACGCTTGTGTCTAGTCATTTGTGACTCGAACGTGTCTCAAACTAATCTCCCTAGGAATACACAATGGATGTGTTCTTCAGACAGACATGGATTGACAAGAGACTGAAGTACGATGGCCCCATTGAAATTTTGAGACTGAACAATATGATGGTAACGAAAGTGTGGACGCCTGACACTTTCTTCAGGAACGGGAAGAAATCCGTCTCACACAACATGACGGCCCCAAATAAGCTTTTCAGAATCATGAGAAATGGCACTATTTTATACACAATGAGGTAGCCATTTCGTTTTTCTTTTTGTCCTTCTCCCATTGTAATCCTTTCTTCTCTTTCTCCTTCCATCCCTCCCTCCCTCCCTTGCTCCTGTCCTTTCCTCCCTGCCTTCCCATTTTAGAATCTATAAAGTTATTTTTTGAGAAAAGGTTGATTTAATCGCATTTTTTTTTTTTTTTGTCATCCTAGACTCACCATAAGCGCGGAGTGTCCCATGAGATTGGTGGATTTTCCCATGGACGGGCACGCGTGTCCTTTGAAATTTGGGAGTTGTAAGTTGTGACACAAATGTTGTTAGAATTTATGCTGGCCTCAGTAAGCTCATATATATATATATATATGCATAATATTTTTCATAGTCCGACATTTAAATCATTGTTCGTGACAAAAACGGTTGAGGTTTGAACCTTAGGGGAATGTTTATTAATTTATATTTTAAAACAAATAAAAAACTACCCTCTCCCCCTCCCCACCCACAAAAAAAATACCCAAAAGCCTGTTTATACAGAGAGTCTAGGTCAGGCATCCTCAAACTACGGCCCGTGGGCCACACGCGGGTGTTTTTGCCCGTTTTTTTTTTTTTTTTTTTACTTCAAAATAAGATATGTGCGGTGTGCATAGGAATTTGCTCATAGTTTTTTCTTAAACTATACTCCGGCCCTCCAACGGTCTGAGGGACAGTGAACTTGGCCCCCTGTTTAAAAAGTTTGAGGACCCCTGGACTCTAGGTGGTTTGGGTCATAATTAATTGGTGGACAATCACTGGTGAAATTTAGGTGACCCCTGAACTCTGCATGTTGATAGTGTGACATGGAAATTACAAATGATATATATGTGTCATTGAACAGTTTCTGTTGCAAGTAGAGTCCTTTTATAGCAGGCTTGGAAAAAGTCCAAAGAAAGTTCAGGGCTTCCCGACCACTGTGGCATGGGTTAAAATAACAGAAGTTGAAAGTGGGTGAAACACGGCCCGAGCATAGTAAGAGATGTGGTCTCAGATAATTGTAGCTCCCTATAGAGACCACGTTAAGGAGTTTGGGTTCTGTCTAAAAGCGGCGGGAAGCCTTCAGGAGGGTTTTTGCAAAAAAAAAAAAAGGGCATGGCTTGCTTTGATTGACGTTTCGTCACTTCACTTTTCTATGGAGAACGGGTAGAAGAGAGGCTCCAGCGGAAGAGTTGGAGCAATAATAGCACAAGCACAAGCAAGGAGGGAGGGGGAGGGGGTTAGCCGAGGATAATACTAGAAGAGAAAGTGTGTGTGCAAACGTGTGTGTTTGGGAAATTTTGCTGAGATGAAGGCCAGAGGATGGGATGAATGGCTAGGAAAGAAGATAAGAAGATTCCTTTTTTCCTCAAGCTGCCTTCTCTGAGATGGAAGCAAAATGTGATTGCCTTTCTAAGGTCTGCCTTTCAAATTTTCAATTCAATCAGAATCTACCAAAAATAGACGCTGGCTTTTACTATTGCTTCAGATTCTCAGCGGCACTGATTGTGAAGCTGCTGCATGCTGTGATCCTCGCTGGCTGCTTAACTTAATGAGACGCGGCAGTCGCCGTTCTTTTTATAACCCCCAGTAATCACGACATTCAGTGGGCTCACTCGAGGCCGGAGAGAGCCATTTGTTCACTGACCAATGATTCAGTGAGGGAGGAAAGACGCAGAAAAATACATAGAAGAGGGTGATCTCATTGGGGCCAGAGATAAAGATCCATTTTGTGTTGCAATCCCTTAAATTTCACCCAAGATAGTTCTTCTCTAGAGAGAAAGTCCTTTCCACCCCCTACTTCCCTCTACGTCTCGTAGAAGACATTCTTCCGTGAGAGTGAACATAGCTGGGGCTCGGTCAGGGCTTGCTCTCATGGAGTAAAGATACCACGTCTTGGAAGCTGGCGCTTTCCAATTGAGAATTCAAAAGAGACACTTCATACCCAGCAAGTGAGGATTCTTAAGTACTTTGGAAAAGGGAAAAAATAACACTATTTAGCTCTTGTTTACGATTCAGAGGAATGAGAAACCCAGGGAAGAACTTCGAAGGCTATTCTAGCAAGGTAAGGTGGCCAAGAGAAGGCTACCTGGTCTAAAATATCATAGACAAGAACGTAGTATACAGGGGGCTTTAAAGGGTTAATGAAGTAGGAATATATTTCTGGAGCTAAACCCCGACAGACACGTAACTGTGTAATGCTAAAAGACAACGCAAGTCTTACAGTTTGTTTTGCGAGGCCATTTACAGAGATAGTCTTCTTAGATATCAACTCTTTTTGCAGAATGAAACAGTTCCATCAAAGACCTGCTGTGCTCTAGCCATTTTAGGAAGGTTTTTGGGGGGTGGGAGAGTGGGGGGACGGTTAGGGGACCCACAATTTATTTTGGTTCTTTTGAAGTTACTTGTGTATAAGCCAAGCTGTCTGCTCCGGGGCCTGGTGGGCAAGCAGCTGGTCTTCATTTGCACGGAATGCCCAATAATAGCAAACAGGCTTAAACTGGCAATGGGAGGAATTTGTCGAAGACAGAAGGGAAAATGTCCTGATGGTAAGAGTTTAAAGGTAGGGGAACTGGTTGCTTAATTATATTCCCTGGAGAGCTTCACAAAGGGCAAAGCAGTTGTCTCTGTAGGATGGTTTTCTGGGGTGGGTGTTGCCTAGAGGCAGAGTCTGCAATGGAGAGCTCTCCCAACAGTAGGGTTTGTTTGCTTTTGTGGTTGTATTATCACTGGCAGCCTCTGGTACGTTTCTAAACAGCAGAGCTGCATTAGGGTAGAAGTCAGTATTGGTCAAGCCCTGGGAGTGAATTAGAAGTGGAAGAATTAGGGGTTTGACGGCACTGCTATGGGGTGTAGTGCGTCTGCCTCCCAGCTACTTATGCTATTAACGTGGAAACATCCAAGTGCACTGGTGCACATGTAGCATTTCAGATGCCTCGGTTTCCGTCTCTCCTCCTCCGATTTTTTTGGCATAAAAGCAGTAAATCCTGTTGAGTTGCAAGACTGTTTATTTAATCTCTACAGTTTTCCGAATCTTGAACGTGTTTGAATAAGTCATTATGAACATTGTTGGTATCTATCCCGTATTTCTTGAACATGTACTGTTTTTCTTAAGTGCGCACTACCAAGTGGGTGAAAAAGGAAAACTGACTCTAACCAAGTTCTGTGCTCTCATGCAGATGCATATCCAAAGAGTGAGATGATCTATACCTGGACAAAAGGCCCTGAGAAATCAGTTGAAGTTCCAAAGGAATCTTCCAGCTTAGTTCAGTATGACTTGATTGGGCAAACAGTATCAAGTGAAACTATCAAGTCGATTACTGGTGAGACGTTTAATGATTAAAGTCAATATGCTACCTGGCATTAGCAATAGTGTTTACTCCTCACTTTTTCTCTGAAATATCTAGTGTTTTCAGGGAAACAGCAAAAATTTTCCAGAAATAGAATTGATGCATAAATCACAGCTCAGGATTTCTTTGTTTATAGTTATAATCTTATTTTAGTTTACAATAAATTCTGACTTGGTAAGATGTGAAAAGTGAGTTGGGTTTTGTATTTCAGAAATGAAAAGTCAGTAATAAAATATGTTAACACTGTTTCCAACCAAATTATGAGGCAGGAAGTCTTATTTCTGTGGTGCTTTTCCAAAAATCTTTTGTAATTTTGTCTAATTTCGTGGCGCTGCCTTCCTTCTTCTTTCCAGAGTAAACCAAAATCTGAAAATTAATTTTAAAAGTATATTAAGAGTATACATGAAAGTCGTCACACTGGAAGGTGGATGGTTTTTATTGATGATTCTTGGTTTGTATTTGCTTTTTGAATGTGAATAGAAAGAATCATAGGATTTAGTTTTTATCGTACTTAACGGGAAAAATTGGCTGATTATTGCTTGTTTTAAAACCATTCCTGTATCCTCTAGCCATCTCTAATAAAAAAATAAAATAAAATAAAACCATTCCTTATATACCCATATCACTAGAAAAAAAATATTATTTTGATTATAGTTGTCTTAGTCCATTTGGGCTGCTATAACAAAATCCCATAAACTGGGTGGCTTGTAAACAATAGACGTTTATTTCTTATGATTCTGGAGGCTGGGAAGTCCAAGATCAAGGCGCCATCAGATTCAGTGTCTGGTGAGGGCTCATTTCCTGCTTCATAGAATGGTGCTTTTTCACTGTGTCCTCAAGGACATGAGAGGTACCCACACTAGGACCTCTTTTATATGGTCTCTAATCCCATTTATGAGGGTTCCAGACTCATGATCTAATCACTTCCCAAATCCTACTGCCTAATATCATTACAAATTGGTTATTAGGTTTCAACCTATGAATTTTGGGGGACCACGAACATTCGGACCATAGCAATAAGAGTTAAAGTTAATTCGGAAATTACCATTTGACAGGCAGCATTCCAAAGTCTTTTCACTTATTTGTTTGTTGAATTCTCTTCATGGCCCCATGAAGCGGACACCATTACTATATGTTCATTTTACAGACGAGGAAGATTTAAATACCATATGTTTAATTAAGTAACTTGCCTGAGTCATACAGTTAACACATAGCAAAACCAAGATTCGAAACATCAACGTTCTGATATCTGAGTTCATGTTCTTAAAGGGCCTTGAAAGCCAGCTCAGAATGCTGAGATTGCATTAGTAGAAAATGAGTAGTTGTAAGATCTGCAAAAAAAAAAAAAAAAAAAAAAAAAGCGTGAGATGATGAAGATTTTTTGTTTTGTTTCTGTTTTAAGGAAAACTTGACAAAGCAGTGATGTGACGGGATGATGGATCTAAAATAGTCAAACTTAGAGAAGTGGAGAGTGAAATGCTGGTAGCCAGGGGCTGGGGCAGAGGAGGTGGAAACAGGGAGGTATTAGTCACAGGGTGCAAAATTTCAGTTATACAAGATGAATTTAGCCCTCGAGATCTACCGTACAGTGTGGGGCCTATAATACTGTGTTGTGTACTTAGGACATTGCTAAGAGAATAGATCTTAAGTGTTCTCATCACAAAAAATAATAACCAATAAGAAAGTGGGAGGGAACTTTTGAAGGTGATGAAGAGGTTCATGGCCTAGATGGTGGTGATGGTGATGGGGATGTATACTGTGTTTCCCCGAAAATAAGACAGGGTCTTATATTTATTTTTCCTCAAGAAGACACCCTAGGGCTTATTTCCAGGGGATGTGTTATTTTTTTTTTAAGGACAGTACAACAATCTACATTTATTCAAATACAGTTAAGTCGTTTTCTTCTGGAACATCATCCTAACTCTCCAAACCCCGAATTCCATCCTGAATGTCTTTGCAACTCTGTTTCCTTCAGAACCACCGGCCCCAATCTCTCCTGTCAAGCCATAGAGCTCTCATGGGGCAGATGAGAAGGGCTGTTCGTCTTCTTTACTGACGACACGCATGGGTTGTGCAGATGCGCTGCGTAGCCACGCCCGTCACTAGGGCTTATTTTAGGGGTAGGGCTTCTATTGCACAAATGCTTAGAAATCCTGCTAAGGCTTATTGTATGGGGAGGGCTTATTTTCAGGGAAACATGGTACTTATCTATAAAACTAATCAAGTTGTATACATTAAATATGTACAACCTTTTGTATGTCAATCATACCTCAATGAAGTGTTTAAAAAATTAAAAATAAATGAAATGAGGGAAATTTATCATGGAGAAATAAAATTAGTATATGAGCTTTTGTAAAAGAAAAAAAAAGAAGGAATGTAGCCTACTGTCTCCTCTATTAAAACTGCTTCGTATATATCCACTCATTCTGCTTTGTCATGAAATCAATGGCACTGCTCCTCTTTGCCAAAGTCCCATGACTTTTATCTTCACAACACCTGTCATGGCAGTTGTCATTTTGAGAAAACCCTCTTCATATCAGTTAGGAGACTGTACATGTAGTAGCTTTCTAACAGGGCAGTTTGCCTCTCATCTGTGTAGGAAAAAAAAATATTTTTTAAAGACATCCATCTTCCAGTCTGCAAGTAGGATTGAAACCATATCTGGGAGGACATGAGTTTTCTGAACCTTGGGCTTCGCGGGTTTGTGAATAAGGTCACTGTTTCCTAAATAAGTTGTTTAATATGTCCTTTTCAGATGGAACAGTAAAAATAGTTATCAGCAGCTACCAGAAATCTTATGGTTTGTTACCTTTATTAGCTTTTTAGGTTTTTGACTAAATACCGATAAAATGTGCTTGAACCTCAGGGATGTTATATATATGCCTCTATGTTATACATATCTATTTGCATTTTTCTTCATATATAGAACATTCAGAAATACAGCTCTTTCCTAAAGCTAAGAGAGACTCTCTCTAAGCTTTTCTCTGTGTGTGTGCATGTATGAAATGTATATGAATACATTTTATAGTAAAGTATATTTATCTCTTTCCAACATTAAACTTCATATTTTCATATATATATGTGTATGTCAAAAACTTTTAGTCGTTTTCCATAAAAGTTAGTTCCATATTCTGCTTTTAAAATATGCTGAAAATGAAAGCTAATTGCTTTAGCCATAGTAGGCCATCAAATAGAAAGCACTGCAAGAATTTTTAAGAAGTCACAGCCCAGTTTGTTAAATCGCTATATGGGAAAAGAAGTGGTTTTCTCTGTAATAAGGGCCAATATCATTTTCTCCCTCTTGATGTTTGCATTGCTACGCACAAGAGGACAATTTCTTTGCTTAGAGTACTGTTAGTCTGAAGTATGATTACGAAGCCACTGAATAATTGCCTGCCATGCCAATAACATATTTTCCTCTTATTTTTCTTGGCAGGTGAATATATTGTCATGACGGTTTACTTCCACCTTAGACGGAAGATGGGTTATTTTATGATTCAGACCTATATTCCATGCATTATGACTGTGATTCTTTCTCAAGTTTCATTCTGGATAAACAAAGAGTCAGTTCCAGCGAGGACTGTATTTGGTAATTCCAAGTCATTTCTTGAGTGTTTTCGTTCATGTTACATTTTCATCGTGATTCGTGGGAACAGCCCTTAGATATGTCTAAGAAAGCATTAAACACTAACATATCAGACTGTAGTGAAGAAAGAATCATATAGCGTTTTGTTTTTATTGATAGGGCTTGGGGAGATATGGGCAGTCCATCCCTTTCTCTGGGGCCATGCATCAGATTTTGCTTGTTAAGAACCAGGCAGGCGAAAACCAAAGATAACCGGATAGAATTCCACTTTCGGTGATATTCTCGGGCTCCTAGTGTAATGCTGTGTAATTGAATTAAAATTATATCTAGGTGTTAAAATGAAATGCACTTGCAGCTTAAAATAAACAAAAAATCATGGCTGAATGAGTATGAAAGCCTTAGAATAACGAAGAGGCACAAAATGCAAATGGTTTAAGTGCGTTGAATTTGAGGGTATTATGCGCTTAGTTTAGAAGCTCATCAATCTACATGCTTTTATTTTGAGCCGACATTTGTTTTGTTGTTTTTCTAGTGGCTTCCTATATATATATATATATATATATATATATATATATATATATATATATATATAGTGGAGTGTTTTGAATCGTACGAAGTCCTGAACATTTGAGTTTAAAATTTGCATAACTGTTTGTAAGCCTTTTACGGGTTGGTCATGCTTTTAAATAGAAACATTTGTTATCATTACATTTATTTAATCGAATCTCTTTCTCTATACTTTCTCTGTTCGTTGTGAGCAACGAAAGCATTCAGTGGTGTGGTAAAAAGGAAAATGATCAGAGTCGCTCAGGGAATGGCAGTATAGTCTTCACAAGAGATGTTGGTTTCCCTTTGCCTTTCTCTCGGGTAGGATCACAGCCACGGTGCTATGTGTCTTATCACACCATAGCTGGAGGAATGCCAAGAGGGGAAGGAACTGGGGAGAGTGGGAGCTCTTCACCCTACCTCCCCATCGTTTTCAAGAACCGATGATGAGGGTGTCCTCAGTGGAACTGAAATGCCCATATGGAGGCATTTCCTCCATAGACAACCAGCCTCCCTTTAATCTTAGATTAACCCAAGAAGATGTTGGAATCACACTGGAGAAACCCATACAGAGCATCAGAGTGGAGACAGGGTGTGACCTCAGGAAGGCAGTGAAGCGGATATGATGATAGTGCTACTTCCTAGAGTTAGGAGGGTTCCATTAAAGAACCCTCAACTGCACGTTGAACCTGAATAAATTTTAGCTGTTTTAACTGTAAGTGTGAAAACGAAAGATGCCCGTAAGTGGAGGTTTAAACCTAAACCCGCCATTTATTTTCTTTATCAATGAAATTGTCCCCATCTCTACTATAAATAGAAATAAATCAGCCAAACAACTAAAAAATAGAAAAAAAAATTAGCCGGGCACGGTGGCACATGCCTGTAGTCCCAGCTACTCGGGAGGCTGAGGCAGGAGGATCGCTTGAGCCCAGGAGTTCGAGGTTGCTGTGAGCTAGGCTGACGCCACGGCACTCACTCTAGCCTGGGCAACAAAGCGAGACTGTCTCAAAAAAAAAAAAAACACAAAACTCAAAAAAAAAAACACAAAAACCCAAAAAACAAATAAATAAATAAAATTGTGATAATACAGCTCTTCCTCCTAGACTAGAGAGGATTTAAGGAGTTACATGCCGTGCTCAATAAGGAATATCTGGACCACTTACTTCATATTAGTTACTTTCTCCCATACTTCTTTTCCATAGAGATTTATTTTGTTCCGAGTTGGTTTCCTTGATTTTCAAGTGCTGTAAAGAAAACAAAATACTTTTAGTGTGTACTACCATGCAGTCTGTTAAGTTCTTGTTGTTCATTATCTCATTTAACACTCGCACTAATCTTGGGTCTTCACATTTCATGTTTTGAAGCAGGTTGACTGGGCAGGAAGTATCTAATGAGACTAAGCACCTGATCAAAGTCCCTTAACTTTTCCTAACATGAAAAGTATTCATATTTTAGGAGCTATTACCATGAAAAATTTTTTTAAAAAAAACTGTCAAGTTTCTATTAGGCCTTACAAATAAAAAAAAAAAAACATTTAATATTATACATTTTTTTTTCCTAAATATGATCCTAAAGATCTTCTAGAACAGACAACACTGACCCAGCATAGGTGCCTCTAATGCAAAAATGTTAGCGTCATCCATGCAAACTCTGGAGACAAGTGGTCTATGTTCTAACCCCAGAATCTGCAAGTTATTAGCTATGAACCCTCAGTGAGTTACCTTGGCCTATTTCCTCGTGTTAAAACAGGATGAATGATTGTACCTACCTCATAGGATTGCTATGAGGAGTAAATGAATTAATTCAGACAAAGCACTTGAAATAATGCCTAGAACATAATATATACTATTCAAGTGTTATTTATTCATATGGCATTCTGTGCTACCATCTACCTCATTTGAGAATGGCTGCTCGACAGTTGAGTGTGAATGTCCTCCATATTTTGTGGTTGGCTGATGAACTTTGAACGCTTTCTTGTTTGGTTACAAACTGGCGGCTGCTGTTCTGTCTCACTTGTCCCCAAATAATAGATAGAAATGTCCAGTGGTGTGGGGAGGGGTAGCATGGATTACAGCTATGTTCACACAACGTCTCCTATGCAAATAAGTAGCGTGTAGTAAGGATACTAGTATCACTACCACCAATGATGGACAGATTTGCCATGTACCGATGGAGTCATCTTATTTAACCTTACCGATAACTCGGCAAGGTAGGCATTGGTAATTTTTCATGGATAAGGAAAAAGGCTCAAAGATATTAAGGAAGTTGTATAAAGCCACATAATCGTGAGTGGTGGACCCAAGACCACTTCTGAGTAACTTTGAGAGCTCGGCCATTCTATCTTCACAGGAGGGGTGGGGATGTGGGGGCTTGTGGAGAATTCCAGAGCTGCTGGGTGAGACCGTATGGATGTGTGCTGACCATACTTTGTGGGTAGGCTTTCTCATTTGAAATTTACCCATGTTTTGTGCCCATGTGCTGAGGGATGGGTTCAGTGGATCAGGGAAATTATGCCAATAATGAAGCCTTCAAAGACCTAAGATTTATCAGAATGGCAATTATGAGGCTATCATTTAGGGCAGGGGTCCACAAACTTTTTAAACAGGGGGCCAGGTCACTGTCCCTCAGACCGTTAGAGAGTGCGCACTGTGGGCCCGGGACCAGTCGGCTGCTAAGCAGGACAGGCAGCGGCGGCAAAAACACCCGGCGGGCCGGATAAAATGTCCTAGGCAGGTGGCATGTGGCCCACGGGCCGTAGTTTGAGGACACCTGATTTAGGGTCTAGGATGGTACTTTCTTAGCAAATATGAGTTGTAAGTATTTTAAGGGAATTAGCAACCTAATGTTTCATGTGAGATTTAGGGTGAAAATTGATTCTGGGCTAGTGTTTTCTCGTCTAAACTCTCCTTTTCCTCTTCACTCGTTAAGGAGAGAGTTTGCTGAGTCAGAGATGTCGCTAGAGACCATGTAAAAACAAAACCAAACAACATCCGTGTAAATATGAAGAGCGGAGTGTGCTAGATTCTCTCCAAAGGCCTTCTATCTCCAAAGCTGTGTGCGTCTAAGTTTTCTAATTATTCCAGTACAGTAAAACATTAAACACAAGTAAATGCCAGTTGGCATTCTAAATCATTGCTATTTCATTTTCTGAGAGTGGCCAGCCAAAAATTCACTCTTGTGTACAGTCTTAGCCTACTCTTACACATCCTCTCCCGGCTTCTGGGCCAGCCAGCATGGTGCATATTCAGCATTCTAAATGCAGGGACTGGCATCGCTGCTTGGCTGTGTCAAAAAAAAAAAAAAAAAATTATGGCTTTGAAATGTTTTCAGGGTAGATGCCACCCAAGCCATACATGACAGATGTATTGTCATCCTAGATGCAGAGGAAGCGTAGATTCTTGTGCTGAAGGGTGGGTTTCTGTCTGCTGTTCCATTGGTCTTCATTTAACCAAATCCTCTACCTGGAACCAGGTATAGAGTAAGTAATAAGCACACCTCTGTCACACCAGTGCTTTCTTCAGATTTGACCAGCAGGCAGAGAGAACTTTGTTTAATGTCTGGAGAGGTGGTAACTTTTTAACACTTAGCCAGTTGTTTATGTCAGCTACTTTCCTAATTTCACCAACACTTACAAAGGAGCAGTAGTGTGGAGGGGTATTCCCCAAACTTTAAAATCAAGCTGATTCAAAACAGTGAATGAGAAAGGGAAGGTAGCCACATGGCCAATGTTTTTGCGTGTTGGTGTTCATTTAACTCATGAACCTGGTGAACTGTCTTCCTAAACGATTGGAAAATAATTTTTGGACTCGTGGTTCAATAATTGCATTAAGATTCTGCTTATTCGACATTAATGGGAGAAGACAAAGACACTACCGATTTTCGGGAAAAATCGTTCTATCACACACACACAAAATGTTCAGAGAAACATGGGGATTCTAACTTGCTTATATTTAAATTTGAGTATCCGTTTGGTTTCTGCAGAATTTTCTGAGTGTTGAGTAGTAGTAGTATTTAGACTGCACTGTTCATCTTTTTTTTTTTTTTTTTTTTTAGACAGAGTCTCGCTTTCTTGCCTAGGCTAGAGTGAGTGCCATGGCGTCAGCCTAGCTCACAGCAACCTCAATCTCCTGGGCTCAAGCAATCCTGCTGCCTCAGCCTCCTGAGTAGCTGGGACTACAGGCACAAGCCACCATGCCCGGCTGATATATATATATTAGTTGGCCAATTAATTTCTGTCTATTTTTTTATGGTAGAGACGGGGTCTCGCTCAGGCTGGTTTTGAACTCCTGACCTTGAGCAATCCGCCCGCCTCGGCCTCCCAGAGTGCTAGGATTACAGGCGTGAGCCACCATGCCCGGCCCATCTTTTAATTCTAAGTGCTTTCAGCGTAATTTCTATGACATTAGAGGAAAAATACTGCTTACATATCTAAGGACGTTATAGAACACTTTTAAATTCTTAATAGCCTACTAAACTTAAATTGTTATGAACAAAGGGAAAAAACATTTGATTTATCTTCAAACGTTGTAGTCAAAACTTTTTCTAAGTTATTTTATGCTTTATTCATATGTGTGGCAGCCAGCATGGGAATGGTGGCGCTTTCCTGAGATTCAAAATGAAGACTTATATATATGCTAAGGTCTCTTTCTGAGAAATGAAGTCCAATAAATCCACAATATTGCGTTTTCATAGATATACAAATGCTTATAAATTTGACTGAATGAACTCATTTTATAGTCTATTTTAAGCTAATAAAAATGTCAACAGTATCACAACAATGTTTAAAAAGGGAATACAACCATATCTTCAAATTTCTTCCTCTGCATATGGTTTGAGCAATGGTTTTAAAATGGTCTGTAGCTCTTGTGCTGCACAATTGCTCCTAATTTTTCATGTTCTAAGCGTTGAAGATTTAAAAGGGGAAGTGGAATTCAGAGAAAATGAATTGGCGAGGAACTAGAAAACTGAGCTTTTATTTCCTGTGCTTTTATGGTGTGCCTGGCACTACATGAAATATGATAGTAATCCGGAAGCAATATTAGACTTGTCTGCCCTCAAGGAGACTGTGCATAACCAAGCTCTGGGAGCAAAACTTGTATACATGAAGCAGAGAACAGTACTAGGCAGAATACACTCAAGTGTTGAATTCAGGAGACCATGTTATTTTTCCTAAATCAAAATATTGTTATTCCTTTATTCTTGCATGGGGCTTGCTATCTGTTTGCTTGAACATGTATTATTTGCCTTTCAGCTGGGGGATTAGCATGGATTGGAATATACCGTTTAGATGCCTTCATCATCATCACTGTCATCATCATCGTCATTCCCAAACACGTGGTGTGTCATCTTCAGGAGCTATCCTGGGCAGTGTATAAAATCAATTAAGATGGATATTAATAATAATTCCACACAGGAATTTTCAGGCTTAACTAGATAATACGGGTTAGATAGACAGACAGACATGCAGAAAGGGATAAGTATCCAAATATTAGCTCCCTTAAATAATGCATTGCTCTGTAGCTCCAGTGGCAAGTGGAATTTTCTGAGAGCATGGATTGACTTTTTCTCCAGGCTCAAGAGAAAGCTTTCCCGGGGGCTGGTGCTTCAGAAGCCTGTTTGGTGGAAGAGAAGTATCTTTGTTTCTTTTTGCAAATATTTTCTTTCCAGCTGCAAACTGATTGGGTGGTGCCTGTCCAAAATTCGTAACACCAAATTGGTCTGGAAATCTGTTCGTTCAGGAATATACTTCTATCCTTTTATTGTATAAATCAGGTTTCTACACAACTGGTAAATGTATGATTTTAATTTCATCGATAATATGGAGTTAAAGATAAGAAACAATTAATATAGTTCATGCTTTTTCCGGCAGGGATTCTCAGTAGCAGTGGGTGATGCTTACCCTAGAAATTTTGATGGTCCAATTTAGCAGCCCACTCCTAGCTGAGAATCACTGCTTCAATGAGTTGTTCTTCCTACTAGGTATGTGTGTTGAGCGCCTCAGGTGTGTTGGCTCAGATTCCAATAAATTGACCCATTCTCTGCTACGTTTCCTATATCCTTTTAATCTGTAGAGAAAACCCAATAGGTAGGTATCAAATAAAGCCCAAATAAATTTTCCAAACTGAATCCGAGTCATGTTGGACCAATGATTAGAGAAACCAGGATCTGAACCATATCTGTCTTTCACTCCAAAGCCCGTGCTACCGTGTTTCCCCGAAAATAGCACCTACCCATAAAATAAGCCCCAGCAGGATGTCTAGGCATGTGCGCAATAGAAGCCCTACCCTAAAAATAAGCCCTAGTGATGGGCGTGGCTATGAAAATCAGCCCTAGTGGCGGGCGTGGCTATGAAAAACCAGCCCTAGTGGTGGGCGTGGCTATGAAAATCAGCCCTGGTGATGGGCGTGGCTATGGAAATAAGCCCTAGTGACGAGCGTGGCTACACAGCGCATCAGCACAACCCATGTGTGTCGTCGCGGAGCGGGAAAGAGCACGAGCAGCCCTTCTCATCTGTCCCGTGAGAGCTCTAGTGCCCCACAGGAGAGATCGGGGCCGATGGTTCTAAAGGAAACAGAGTCTCAAGACATTCAGGATGGGATTCAGGGTTTGGAGAGTGAGGATGATGTTCCAGAAGAAGACGACTTCACTCTATTGGAATAAATGTAGATGGTTGTACCGTACTTAAAAAAAAAAATAACACATGCCCTGAAAATAAGCCCTAGGGTGTCTTCTTGAGGGAAAATAAATATAAGACCCTGTCTTATTTTCGAGGAAACACGGTAATTTCACTGAATTGAAATTCTACATCAAAGATAGTTTTTGTGAGTTGTAAGTTTTGTTAACCCGATCCCTCCTGATTTTCTGGGTTGTTTTTTTTGTTGTTGTTCATTGGTTTTGCCTAGAAATGATGATTGAGTACTTTGTCTCTTTGCTCTTTTGCCCTTAAGGAATAACCACGGTCCTCACCATGACCACACTGAGCATCAGCGCACGGCACTCTTTGCCCAAAGTGTCCTATGCCACTGCCATGGACTGGTTCATAGCTGTCTGCTTTGCTTTTGTATTTTCGGCCCTCATCGAGTTTGCTGCTGTCAACTACTTCACTAATGTTCAAATGCAGAAAGCCAAAAAGAAGACATCAAAACCCCTTCAGGAAACTCCAGCTGCTCCGGTCCTGGGAGAAAAGCATCCTGAGGCACCTGTACAGGTAATAGACTCACTCTCCTTCAGTTTAAGACGTCAGCTTCTCGGTCAAATGTGCGTTGTCGGGAAGACCCGAGACCTTTGAAAATCCCAGTGACAATTTGTAAGTTGTTGGAGATAAATGCCGAGAGATAGATATTGTGAAAAAATATGATATAAAGGTAGAATAGAATCTTGTGATTAAGCTAAAACGCGTTGTAAAGTGATGTGCTGGTTGTATGTAGTAGGCTTAGAGAAATGTAAGCGAGCTCTGAAGTGAGCACTCGATAGGTTAGGTGTGGGGTGAAGCTTACCGTTTGTTGTTCCCCGTAAAATGAGAGAGCAGGGGTGGGGTGTGTGTTAGTTTATTTTTGCCGCTCAGAGAAGACACCCTACGGGCTTTATTTTCAGGGCATGTGTGATTTTTTTATAAGTATAGTACAACAATCTTACATTGATTCAAATAGAGTGAAGTCGTCTTCTTCTGGAATCATCATCACCCTCCAACCCCCGAATTCCATCCTGAATCTCTTGCAACTCATTTCCTTTAGAACCACTGCCCCAATCTCTACTGTGAGCACTAGAGCTCTCACGGGCGATGAGAAGGCTGCTCATGTTCGCTTTCCCGGCTCCGTGATGACATGTGTTGGTTGCTGCAGGATGTCGCTGCACACGCCACTCCGCGTCACTAGGGCTGATTTTCCGACAGCGCATTGCCCATCCCTACGGCTGATTTTTCATACCACGCCAGTCGACTGAGGGCTTGATGTGTCGACAGCACGCCCATCACTAGCAGCCTGATCTTCAAGCACGCCGCATCACTAGGGCTGGATTGTTCCATAGTCCACGCCCATCACGTGAGGGCTGCATTTCATGAGTCACTTGCCATCACCGATGTCTTGATTTCGGGTTAGGGCCTTCTATTGCACACATCTGTCTGTAGGAGGAGAACGGTCTGTGCGTAGGGGCGGTGTTGGTATTTTCTGATGGTGCTACGTCTTATCTTTCCCGGAAACAGCGGTAGTGCTTTGGAAAGTTCTTTCAGGAATTGAGACGGCCTGTAACATCTGAGAGAGGAAGGCAAGGTTGTGCGGAGACGCGAAAGTGGCAACGCGTGGCTGAGCGGCGTGCGTGGCTGTATGGATGCGGCGAAGGAAGGCGGCCCATACCAAGTGCCCTTGGTGTTGAAGAATGAAAACGCAAATACCAGTAGATCAAGAAATCGCGAGGTAGTTGATGTATGGTCCAGAAAGATTCTTGGGCGCCTAAAGAGCCACATCAAGGAGAGCGAGAGAGCCGCGGAGTAAGAGTGTATCAGCGTTGGCACGACACGAGCGCGTGAGTTCAAAAAGTGGAGATAAGAGCTGCGCAGGTTTCTCAGTGAGATGCCAATGTACCGAAATCAGGAGGATGCGTGGCCGAAATCAGAAGGCGAAGCTGCCGCCTCGCTTTTCCTTGTGTGCCTTCCTGTTTTGGCTCTGCGTACAGCGACTCTGCGTCTGTCGCGTGGGCAGGCTTTGGCGACTCTTCGACTCCTCGCCTTCTGTTCGCGTGCATCAGCAGGCAGAATTCTGCTGGTTGTCAGCTATACACACTGTCGTTTTGTCGTGTGCCGACAAAGTGGTAGCGAAAACGCTGTGCTGGGCGAGGGGTACCCAAGGTCGAGTTGCGTAGAAACGCGAGTGCGTGCTGACGATGCAGAGCGAATCCTTGACTTCTTGCGACCAGTCAGCGGTCACGTTAGCCAATGTGATAGAGAGAGGCCAGCTAGTGTGCCGGGCCTGATGTTTGGCTGGAACGGGAGTGAGGCGCGCGAAGAACCCCGACGCAAGATATCCTGCCAATGTGAACGTTAGCAATGTATGGTGGGTGAAGCCAGGGAGGAGGCAAATAATGATATATCCCAGGTTGGTCTATTGATGAGGACCGTCACATAAAGAGATCATAACAAGTCAGCTGTTGGAGTAAAAGATGAAACAAGAATAAAAGACAGTAGTTATAATGCAGCAGCGCGGAGAGGGTCGAGGCGGGTGGATCGCTAGGTCAGGAGTTCGAAACCAGCCTGAAGTGAGACGCGCCGTCTCACTAGAAGGAGAAGGAAGAGAAGGAGTCGGACAGCTGAAAGTAATATAATAAAATTACCAGGCATGGTGTTGCACGCCTGTTAGTCCCAGCTACTCGGGAGCGCTGAGGCAGAAGAGATCGCTTGAGCCCAGGAGTTGGAAGTTGCTGTGAGCTAGGCTGCATCACAGCACTCACTTTAGCATGGGCACAAAGGAAACTCTGTCTCAAGAAAAAAAAAAAAGAGAAAAAGAAAAAGCAGTATAACAAACAGGTGATGTGTTAGATGATGATGGTTACTATGTGAGTGCTAAGCACGAGGAGAGAGCGAGGAAAGTAGGGGTAAAGCTGAGATTCTGTTCTCAGGGGAGGGATGCAGTTGATGAATTAGGCTAGGTGTGCATCTGCGCGACTAGCTGGTCAGTGTCCTGTAATTTACACTTCTGCTCCGTGGGCTCTAGCACTGCTTCTCTGAGAATTGCATGCCGCAGGTAGGAAAATAAATGTCTTTACACTAGTATAGTTGTAGATAGCTTATATTTTCGTGCTAAATGATCCATTTCACCAAGATTACAAAATTATCAGAATATATTTGCACACTATTTTCTTCTTTTTTTTTTTTTGTGGAGACAAGTCGTTCACCCTTGTGTGCCCCGGCCTAGAGTGAGTGCCATGGCGTCAGCCTACGCTCACGGAGAAACCTCCAACTCCTGGCTCAAGCGATCCTCTGCTCAGGCCGAGGTGAGCGACTACAGGCAGGCCACCACCATGCCCGGCTATTTTTTTCCTATATATTTTAGTTGGCCAATTAATTCTTTTATTTATAGTAGAGACGGGTGTCTCGCTCTTGTCAGGCTGGTCTCGAACTCCTGACCCTGAGTGATCCTCCTACCTCGGCCTCCCAGAGTGCCAGGATGACAGGCGTGAGCCACTGTGCTGCCTGCATACTAATTTCAGTTAAAAATGTATAGATCGAATATTCGGTTTTATTATCTTTACATCTATTTCAGGCAAACTTATGCTCTCTCTGCCTTTTATTGTGTTTGTATTTTGCTTTGCGTCTTGTTATGTTAAAGCCTTGAAGAATCCTGTTTATGGATCCTTTAAAAAATTGTCTTGGATTCATTTATTTTTATTATTTATTTGTTGTTTGAATGCTTCCGTTTCTAATTCCTGATTCATTTTTATTGAATTCCATCTCTCGTGCAAGTTAATTTGCTACTCTTTTTCTAGCTTCTTGAGTTTTTTATTATTAATTTATTTCACTGTTTTTTATTTAATACATAAAGTTTTCCTATTTGCAGCTGAGGGTTCCTTTGCAAACAGCTTTGACCATATTCATAAATTTTAATATATAATATATCATATTTATTTGCTAAATATTGTAAATTATGTTACTGCTTTTCTCTGTGAGCCAAGATTATTTCAAGATAAATTAAAATTTCCAAGCAGGATTTTTTTAATTTAACTCTGTTGTTAATTTTTAGTTATACTGCAATTTTCTGATATATGTATACTATCCAGATTTGAGTGTTATTAGATATATTCATGTGCCCGAATTACGCTAAAAGCTTATAAATGTTTAATGACAACTTGAAAGGAGTTAATTTTAGTTATTAAAACAATTTTACTTAAAATAATATTTCACACTTTTAATAAATCACCTATCTTCCTTGATTTTCAAATCTGAAGAAAAGATATAAAATCCCCCACTGATGAGATTAGTTGATTTTTTTGCATTTTAATTATTTTTATTTTATACATTTCGATGCTATGATATTCAATGTGTAAAGATTCATAACTGCTCTATTGCCATATCAGTCTCTGCATCTTATCATAAAATAAATTTTTTGTTTTTCTCCCATAAAATAATGCCTTTCTCCTGAATTCTATTTGCTGTCTGATTTAATATTTTTTATCTATATTTTCCTGATATTAACTTTGCTATTATATTTTTATCATTAAAGTTTTCCTTATTCTTTCATTCCTCTTGTACTTTGGAAGTTATGTATTGTATTTTTATATCATTAGTGGTTAATTTTTAAAACAACATATTTCAACTTGTGATTTTTAAATAATGTCAAATTATAAAATATACCGACTCTCCCATATAGCTATTAACTTTCCCCAACCCCAGGATTTCTCTAGGTCCAAAGATTCCATATTTAGAGTCATATGAATAAATAAATAAATATATATATATACACACACACACACACACAACTATATGTATAATTTTTTTGTATTTATAATGAATTGATGTAGTTCTTTTTCATTTTTATGAAGTGATGACACTCATTGCACTAGTACTGTAATGGAATATTATAAATACTTGAAAGTACCACTTAATCAGAATAAAACTATTCTACTGAATTTCCAAAGATGGGAAGAGAATTGATCGTCTTCCCTTCGCTCCATGGTCCACCTCTTGACTAAAGCAATTGCCATTGCCGATGAATGCTTGGTTGAACTCATTCGGTTGGCTAAGTTCATTCTGATTCAGTAACTCCTCTTCGTAGCATGGTCCACATGCTGTGTGTGCAAATGGCCCATCCAAGGTCAAGAAGATGAAATTTATTTGTGGAGGGCATAGAGTCATTCCATGTGAGCATTGGGAAGGAACTTGAAAATAAATCTGTTCTAAATATGCATCATCTGCTTCATGTCCTCTACAATGTGTGGCTATGTATTAGATACATATGGAGTCCTAGATCTCCATAGCAGGTTACTATCTGTGTTCTAAAGACAGTGATCAACGGGTTGGCCACCCATCCTCCTGATTTAGGGTCACTGCCAGAGTGCAGCTGGCTTTGGAGTGTCACCTGTTATCAGATGGCTTCAGTATCGAGTTTAACTTGGAAGAATGAGAACAAATTAAAATGAAAGAAGAGAGGGATACATAGGGACAAGGAAATCAAGAAGAGGAAAAGAGTATGCTAAGAGCAAAATTTTACAACTTAGTCC